CCTTCCCCAGGGAATGTCGACATCCCCAGGGAACGTCAGCATGCCCAGGGAATGGCGCCTTCCCCAAGGAATGTCGACATCCCCAGGGAACGCCGGGGAACGGCAGCATCCCCAGGGAACGGCACCTTCCCCAGGGAATGTCGACATCCCCAGGGAACGGCGGGGAATGCCGGGGAATGGCAGCTTCCCTTGGGAACAGCGCCTTCCCCAGGGAATGCTGACATCCCCAGGGAACGGCGCCTTCTCTGGCGAACGTCAGCATCCCCAGGGAATGGCTGCTTCCCCAGGGAATGTCGACATTCCCAGGGAACAGTGGGCAACGTCAGCATCCCCAGGGAACGGCGCCATCCCCAGGGAATGGCTGCTTCCCCAGGGAATGTTAACATTCCCAGGGAACGGCGCCTTTCCCGGGACGCGGAGGCTTCCTGGTGTCCGCCCGCCGCCTCGAGCTCCTCTCTCCGCACAGGAGTCCAAGCGCTGTTCTGGGAAGTGAGGGAAATACAGAAGATCAAGGCAAAGATGTCCCGCCAGCGGCTGAGTTTTCACCAGCTCCCCTACAGGGAGATGGAGAGRCTGCGACAGGTACTGGGAACGTGTTTCCACGTGGGAACGCCCGGCTCCGGGCCGTGCGCTGCCCCGCTCCTGCTGCCCGGGGTGGGCAAAGCCCCCTCCGYTCTATCCCAGGTGACACAGGGGGTTGGCACAGGACAGCGCGGCAGCGTTTCCTGCGTTACGGGCCCATTAAAGGGGCATTTTCCAGTAAAAACAGGGTTCAGGTTGGACACCGTCTCCARCTGTTTGTTTTCAGGGAGTCCCTTAACTTGGTCTCTGTCCCTAATTAGTGTAATTTCCTTGGTAGTTTCGCCGGGACTTGATCAAGGCCATTCCCATTGGGATTATCGCCATTCCGCCTTTTGCCAACTTCTTGGTCATCATCCTCATGTGAGTATGAGCTTTTCAGGRCTGCTAAACGGCCGATTTTTCCCGTTTTCCCGGGATCGTGGCCGGCCGTCGCGCGACACTCGGGCAGCAGCACCCACCTTTGGGCTCCCGTTTTTCCCAGTTGCCGGCACTGGAGCCCACGGGAGATTCCTGCCTTGTTCCAAACCTCTCCACGAGCGTCGGCCACAGCTGGGAGTGTCCGGCTGGGAACGGCTGCCTCCGCGTGGGCCGTTCCCGGAGGGCAGAGACCCGCCGGGCYGCCCGGAGCGGCCCCGGCGCTGAGCCCCCCTCTCCTCCCCAAGGTATTTCTTCCCAAGACAACTCCTGATCCGCCACTTCTGGACCCCGCAGCAGCGGATCGAGTTCCTGGACACGTACCACGCTCTGCGGAGCGAGGCGTACRCCGAGGTGCTGCGGAGCCTGGCGCTGGCGGCGCGCTCGCTGCCCGAGCCGCAGCTGCAGGAGCTCTGCACCAAGGTCGGTGACTCCCCAGGGCCGCTAYGGGCCGATTCCCAGGGCTGGTCCCGCTCAGCTCGGAGCTGGCGGGGCTGGGGACGGCCGGAGGGTCCGGGGTGACGGCACGTTGTGGCGCTCGCAGGTGCAGCGGGGGTCCCAGGCGCGCGTGGCCGAGCTCTGCGCCCTCAGGGGCCTCTTCTCGGCTCCGCTGGGGCTGAGCAGCCTGCGGGCGGCCCACGTGGTGAGTGTCCTCGCGTGGTGAGTGTCCTCGCGTGGTGAGTGTCCTCGCGGCGCGGTCGGGACGCGCCCGTGCCCGTGGCACCGGCTGCGCGCGGAGGCGCCCGGCGCAGAGCTCGCGGCCCCGGGCGCCACGCGACCCTCGCGTTTCCCCGCGGTGCCTCAGAAGGCCCTGAGCCGCGTCCTGTTCCTGACGCCTCGGCTGCCGGCGCCGCTCCTGAGGCACCGCCTGCGCAGCCACGTGCTGGAGATCCGGCAGCTGGACCGGGCCCTGGCGCGCCTGGGGCCCGGCGAGCTCTCCGATGAGGAGCTCAGGGCGGTGAGCACCACGTGGCCCCTTCTCCGAGCAGGGGCGCGGATCCGGGAAGGAGGAGGGCCGGGGGCTTGGCCAAACCTCCCGCTTCTCTGCCCAAACCGGGCAGGAAGCGGTGCCCGGGTTGCAGGGCTGGGGGTGCCGCTTGATCCCTCTCGGACGTGGGGGAGGCCCGGGCGGCCGCTCCGTCCTCATTCCCGCGGGGCTCCCTAGGCTTGTTACCTGCGCGGCCTGAACTCCACTCACCTGAGTGCGGGCGAGTGCAGAGCGTGGCTGGAGCGCTGGCTGGGGCTCTCCTGCCGGCTGCAAGGTGAGCGCGGCCGCGCGCCCCTCTCCAGGGAGGCCTTTGGTTAATGCGGGATGCGTTTGGGGAGCGGGATTGGGTGGGATGCGTTTGGGGAGTGGGTTAATGTGGGGTGTGTTTGGGAAGCGGGATTGTGCAGGATGCATTTTGGGAGCGGATTTGGGATGCGTTTTGGGAGCGGGATTGTGCGGAATGGGTTTTGGGAGCRGGTTTGGGATGTGTTTTGAGGCGGGATTGTGCGGGATGGGTTTTGGGAGTGGGTTTAGGCTGTGTTTGGGTAGCAGGATTGTGCGGGACGTGTTTTGGAAGTGGGATTGGGCGGGATGGGTTTTGGGAGCAGGTTTGGGCTGTGTTTGGGAAGCAGGATTGTGCCRGATGGGTTTTGGGAGCGGATTTCCCTGTGCTGTTCCCGCGCGCCCGGCCGTCGCTGTCACGGGCGACTTCGCGGCAGCCCCTTGAGCCCTGCAGCCGCCCCAGGGGAAACAAAACAGAATCGAGGGGAAAGCGAGGTCCCCCCRGGCAGAGCAAAGGGCTGCAGGGGGGCGAAGCCGGCGCCTCCATGGGGCCGGGGGGCAGAGCGGGCCCTGCGGCTGCGGCCCGAAGGCGCCTGCCGGGCCCGGCCTCCGTCCGCCGGCCTCGGCTCCGAGCCGCCTCCTCTCTCGCCAGCGTCCGAGGTGTCTCTGCTGGCCAACAGCCTCGTCCTGCTCTCCCTCAACTGCGCCCGGGCCGGGACGTGAGCGGCGCCGCTGCCGCCGCCGCCTCCCCTCCATCGCAGCCCCTTCTCGCACGCGGCGCTCGCCCCGTGTCCCTTCAGGGACGACCCTTTGCCCGGGAGAGGCGGCGCCTCCCCCGCCTTTCCGAGCTCCCTTGGGAACCCGCTCGGGATCTGCCGCCGCGTTCCCGGCCAGGGCGCTCGCAGCAGCTCCCCGTTCCCTCCCTCGAGGGGTGAGGAGCCGAGCGCGGCGCCCCGCACTGTCCCCCATGCCCGGCCTGGCGCCGGCGCCTTCCTGGGCACCGGCTGCCTCCCCGCAGCCGCCCCGGCCTCGCTGCGGGACAGGGAGCGGCGGCTGCGGAGCCGACGGACCCGCGCGGCAGCACTCCGCCCGTTCAGCCCCGTGGCAGCCCCCCTGGCGCGTCCATGGTGTCTTAAGGGGTTAAACGCAGCCTCTTTCCACCCTGTTTAAGCGAAGCTGAACCTGCTTTAAGTGTTAAGTGTTTCATTAAAGGCAAAAGGAAACGGTCACCCGAGTTGGGGCTTCCTGCTCWGTTTTCCGTCTCTTGTCCCACCACCTTCTCCGCCTGATGCTGCACGGTCACATGGGAACTTCCCCCCTCTCCTTTTTAAGCCATATTAAAGTACAAATAGAAAAGAAACTAGAAAAAACCTGTAGAAATTAGTTACCTGAGCTCCAGGGCAACTTCATCGCTCGCTGCCTGGAGAAGAGGATCCTTCCAGGCCGGATCTGCGCTGCGGGGAGCTGGGAGCTGCTGCTGCTGCATTTCCCTCAACCGGAGGTCCCCTGCGCGAGGTTTTGCCTCTGTGCTCTGCCGCCCTTCACGACGCGATGGACTCGCGGGGCAAGTTTGAGCGTTCCTTTTATTTTTACACTTAAATATTCTCTTTAAATACAGCATTATCACAATGAAAAGAACGGAAAAAGCCCCCTGGGGGAAAAAATAACCATTGCGGAGGAGCGGACAAGCTTTGGATTCACACTGGAAAAAGAAACGGAAAGGGCACCCGTGCCGAGCGCGGGGCGGCGCGGCGGAAGCCRCCGTCCCCAGGTGGACGGGGCCGCGGGGCCGGCTCCGTAGCACCAGAGAGGAGCCCGTGGGGAGCGGCGGCAGTGCCAAATACCGAGCAAGCCCCCAAGGCCGAGACGCGGCCCCGGCGCCCGCGGAGCAGCACCGGTCTTGTGGTAAAAAAATCAATCCTCTTAGTTCCTTGCTTAGTGTGCAGGGCCCGTTCTGAGCAGCACGGGAGGGTTCGTTCTGGCGGCCGCCGCTTCCGACGTGTCCGAGGACGGGACACAAATTGGGGAAAGGGAGGCAATGAAAAACAAATGAACGGAAAGCAAGGAATTCCAAAGGCTTAAACCCATCCCAGCGGCGCCATCGCAGCCGCGATCCAGCGAAGCCACGGGTGGGAATTTAGCCCTTGGGCCCTGGCTAAGCCCGGGGGCTGCAGGGCCTTAAGGCAGGAGGAAAAACCCCCTTCCTGCCCAGCGAGAGCCCCCGGCTGCGATCCCGCCCGGAGCGGAGCACGAGGCGGCCGGAGCCCAAGAAAAGCCTTCAAGAAACCCCGAGCAACAGGAAAGCCCTCGCAGAACAACCAAGGACACAGTTTGTCCCCCGCTTCCCTTTCCTTGCTCCCTGGGGCTGGGCTTGGTGGGATGTCATCCCTTGGGAGCAGCTCCGCGAGCCCCGGCCGAGCTCCTCAGGGAAAGGAGGGCGGCAGCCCGGGATGCTCCGGCGGGCGGCCGGGAAGGGCTGGAGCAGGAGCAGCTTCCTGTTGCTCGGGACCTGCTGCCCGCGCCGCCCTCCTGCTCCRGCCCTGAGCCCTTCCTGGGGGAAAAGTGGCACCCCAAGCGCACCAGGTCCYGCCTCTTCCAAAATGCAGCACGGATGAAGCTGCCGGGAGGAAGYGGCCATGGAGGAAGCGCCAGGAGAGGCCGGGATGCGCCCGGGCCGGCAGCAGCGCCAAGTCCGTGTCCGCCCCGGCTGCTCCCGGGGGCTGCAGCGGGGCCGGGCCGGCGGCTTTTCCACTTTTCCGYCGGCACCGGGCGGCAGCTCCCGCCCGTCGCGGCCTCCCCGCGCTGCCCTCGAGCCGCCGGGACGCGGTTATGGCGCAAAGCAACGGGGCGCTGAGCACAAAGCAAGGAAAAGCTCCCGAGAAGCGTCGCGGRCCGCGTGCCCAGCCCCTTGTGCAATGAAACGCAGGCTGCCGACGCGAGCGGGGAGCAGCCAGCGCCGCTCCCAGCCCAGCCGGGCCGGAGGCAGGAGACCGAGCCCGGACGGGGCGGCAGCAGCACCGGCCTCGGCCCAGTAAACAGGTAAACATTCACATTAGAAAAAGTCTTTTGCTTAAAAAGCAATAAAATAAGAAGCAAAGTGGGGAGGCGAGGGCTGGGCGGCGGCAACGCGCGGGACCAGCAGCCATGAGAAGCAGAGGCTGCGCAGGAGGCGCTTGGGCCCGCGGCCGGGTGGCCCCTTCCAACCAGGGATGCACGGAAAGGAGGCGTGTGGACGGAGGAGGCGGCGTGGAGCGGGACGGAGCGGCTGGGAGCGCGCGGAGCTTCACGGAGCTGGCGCCTGGGACCCCTCCGGAGCGCGGGGGGTCGTTTAAAATAGTCTGTTCAAAGCAGCCCCGCTCGCCCTCCGCCCTCCTGCCCCGCAATTAAATAACCTCGAGCGGCCGGTTCCACTCCAGAAAATATCATCAATAAATAGACACCGGAGACGGGAGCAGCGAGGGCCGCGGGCGCTCACACGGCCAGGGCGGGTGCCAGAGGCCGCTCCTCCAGCGAAGGCGGCTCGCGCTCCGGGGCCGGCTCTGGCTCCGGCTCCGGACAGTTTGTGCGGGAGGGAGGAGCAGCCGCCGCTCGGCAGCTCTCGGCAGGCGCGGGAGCCTCCGGGGACGATGCGGGAGCCTCTGGGGATGAGGCGGGGACCGGGGCCACTTCGGCCTCACTTGGAGCTGCCACAGGCCCTGCATGGCCACAAGTCACCAGCGAGGCTGCAGGGATAGAGCCGCTGCTCGGATACTTGTCATTCATGGAGGAGGAGGAGGAGGAGGAGGAGGAGCAGGAGGAGGAGGGCTCAGGCTCCTCCGCACCGCTCTCTCCCTTGCTCCCCAGCACGGACCGCGGCTCCACTTGGTAATAGACCACGGGGCCACTGTTCAAGTAGGGCTGGTCACCTGCGGCCGCAGCCGCCTGCTCGGGGCCGTCGGCAAAGCAGAGGACGGAGGAGCCCGGCGGCAGCTGCGCCTGGATGAGGATGGGAGCGCTGAGAGCCGGGCACAGGCCCTCGGGCACGGCCAGCGGCTCCTCCAGGATGCAAACGCCCAGGCTCTCCACRCTGGAGCCGCTGCTGGAATCTTCCTCCGCCTTGAGCCTCTCCAGCTCCTCGGCCGTCTGCAGGTGCATCACGGCCGTCTCGTTCTCCGCCATGAACTCCTGGAAGTCCTGCGTCTCCGAGGGCTGCGCGCCCAGCCAGTCGCTACCGGAGCCGTGAGCCGCTTCCTCCTCGGGGGCCTGGGGCCGGCCGCCTTGGCGCTTGTTCTCCAGCTCCAGCTTCATGATGGTGTGGAGGTAGTGAGTCCGCACGCGGATGGGGTTGAACTCGATGCGGCCGGCCATGTTCCCGCAGCCGTCGCGGGAGCAGCCGCAGGGGAAGGACATGCGATCCACCTGGCACGGAGGCAGAGGCTGCAGGGGCCGCGCGCCCAACACGGCCGCCCGGCTCTCTCCTGCCACCCCTTCCCGCAAGCCAGGACCCCCCCAGGCACATCCCGAGCGCGGCGGCCCCGTGGGGTTTCCGGGTGTCTCACCTGGCACTTGATGCCCGCCTGGCTGCAGGCGCAGGCCTCGGGGTCGCAGTAGAGGCGGCAGTCGCAGCCGCACTCCTCGCGTGACAGGCGGATCGCCCGCAGCTCCTGCTTCTCCTCGGCGTCGATGCGGTGCACGCCCGAGGCGCGCAGCAGCGCCCGCCGCCGCTTGGTGGGCAGCGGCTGCAGGAAGAAGTAGTCGTCGACCTCCACGTTCTCCACGTCGATGTCGTCGTCCGAGACGTCCTCCAGTGTGAGGCCGTCGGCCTCCTCGGACTCCACGGTGCCGTTCTTGGTGAGCTGCGGGGCAGGGGCAGAGCTGAGGCCCAAGGGCGCCGGCATCTCCGGACGCAACCGCGACGCCGCCTCCCATGCCAGCATTTCGGAGCCTGGGCAGGTTTTTCTGGAGACCTCGGGAAAAGCGGCCGCGACAGGAGCAGCGCTGCGGGCTGCGTGGGGGCAGCGCGGCGGTGCCAAGCGAGCCGGCGCGCGAGCGACAATAACAGAAAAGAAAGAAAGAAGAAAGGGAACAGCCCCAATCCGGTGCCCGGAGCCCAGGGCTCATCCCTCTCCTCCCGCCTGGCTGGGATCCAACTGCCCCAGCCCAGCAGGATGATTTTAAGCCGCCCCGTTCCAGGGGCTACTTCCCACTCGCTCGGCGCTGCCTTCATCTTCTTGGCGTTACCTTCATCTTCTTGGCGTGCAGCTTCTCCTCCTTGAGGTGCTCGCGCAGGATCTCGCGGTGATTCACCTCCTGCTCCTGGGCGAACTCGCAGAGCGTGTAGCGGCGCACGGAGTTGTGGCGCGGGGCCATGCCCAGCGAGCTGCCGCCCTGGCTGGGCACGCTCGTGAAGCCCTGGCGCCGCGCAAAGTAGTACACGGTGACCTGGTCGAAGCGCACGTTCTTGCGGCGCAGCTGCTTCTGCCGCTTCAGGATGGAGGTGGCTGCGGGAGGCAACGCCCGGCGCAACGTGAGACCCTTGGGTCCCTCTCCCACCCCAGGCGCGGCCGCCGCGGGCACTCACGGATGAAGCCGGCGGAGCTGGGCGGGTTGACGCTGTCGCAGCTGTCGGCGCTGTCGCTGTTGGAGATCTCATCGTCCGAGTTGGAGCCGGCGGAGCCGGCGTCCGCGTCCTCGAACCTCCTCTTGAGGCTGCCGCTCGCGGCCATTGGGCTGGGGCTCGCATGGAGAGCCGGGCGGCGCGCGGGGCCGGGCGGCTCGCGAGGGCGCCGGGGCCTCCCGGGCACCTGCGACACGAGCGGGCGCTGAGCGGCCCCGCGGGGAGCACAGCCCTGCCCCTGTCCCTGCGCGGGGATCCGCGTCCCTCTCCCCATCCCCACACGGGGATCCGCGTCCCTCCTCCCATCCTGCACTGGAATCCGGGTCCTTCTTCTTATCCTCGCGTGGGGATCCCCGTCCCTCTCCCCATCCCGCACTGGGATCCCCGTCCCTCTCCCCATGCCCACATGGGGATTCGCGTCCCTCCTCCCATCCCACACTGGAATCCGGATCCTTCTTATCCTCGCATGGGGATCCGTGCCCCTCTCCCCATCCCGCACTGGGATCCTCGTCCCTCTCCCCATCCCGCACTGGGATCCCAGTCCCTCTCCCCATCCCGCACTGGGATCCGCGCCCCTCTCCCCATCCCGCACTGGGATCCGCGTCCCTCTCCCCATCCCGCACTGGGATCCCCGTCCCTCTCCCCATCCCGCACTGGGATCCCAGTCCCTCTCCCCATCCCGCGCTGGGATCCGCGCCCCTCTCCCCATCCCGCACTGGGATCCTCGTCCCTCTCCCCATCCCCGCGCTGGCATCCACGCCAGCTCTGCTCTGCATCTCAGGAGCATCCACTGCCCGGCTCAGGCCCCCCACCGGCTCCATTGGCTCCAAACCCTCCCCGGCAGCGGCCACCGTGGCCGCCCAACCGCCCTAACGAGGAGCAACGCAGGCAACCGCGACGGCTGCAGGGCCGGAACCAAAGTCCAGGTGGAAACCYGGGTATCCCCAAGCCGAGAGCGGGATCCGCTCCGCGCCGGCAGGGCTCATGCCTGGCGCAGCACCCRCCTCCCTCTCCCTTTTTCCCCTTTTCCCCCTTTTTTGCACCGCTTCCACGTGAGTTAACGTGACATCCTCACTCCAGGCAGACACAAAATAAGGCGGCTGCCGGGAGCGGCTTCCCGGCCACGAGCCCGGACGGCAAGAAGCAGAGCCAGCCTTGGAGCTCCGGGAGCGGAAAGGCCCYGGCGCTCCCAGGACGGGCACTGGATGAGCGGGATGAGGCTGGGAAGCGGCGCCGCGGCCTCCGCTCCGGTTCTCATGGCAACGGAACCAACGGAGCTTCATAAAGAAACCGCCGGGAGCGGCCACCGCTCCCGGATGGAGCTGGAGCCGGGCGGGATCCCGGAGCCTCCCGGGAGCCTCCGAGCTGGAGCAGAGCCGCCGCTGCCCCCCGGGGCTGGAGCACCCCGCGCGGAGCCGGGGCCGAGCGCAGGTAGCGCCCGGGAAGGGGGAGGCGCCGCAGGATGAGACAGCAGGAAGGAGACCTGCGGCTCCGGCCTCCATGCTGCTGATTCCCGCCCGGAGCGCGACGGGCAGCGAGCCCCCRGCACCCCCTGCCCTTCCCCGCGAGCCCCGGCAGAGGGTCCGGCTGCTCCGCGGGAAGCGGCCCTGTGACACCGATTCCCCGGCTCCCCCCTATCAAACTGCACCCCAAGGGGCTCAACCGAAAACAACCATTTTTCCCTGTCGGCACCTGCTGGGGCTGCCAGCGGGAATGGCTCCCAGTGGGAGCACCGTGGGATGCGCGGAGCTGCAGGGAAGCCCGGAGCATCCCGAGCAATGGCCTGGACCCCTCGGAGCCCCGGCAATGCCAGGACAGGGCCATGCGGGGCCGAGCTCAAATTTCTTGGAAATAAGGCAGTTTCTGACCTATTTAGTGGAAATAAACCCTCGCTGGGCCCGGATGCAGGAGGGGAGCGGAGATGCAAGGACAACGCGGAGCCTTTGCTGAAACGGCTCCCGGAAGCGCAGCCCTTCCCAGAGAAGCCGCATCCGAGCGCCCAGCACCGCTCGGTCACGGGCTGCATCGCGATACGCGGGAGAAAGCCGGGAAAATAAATAAATAAATGCGGGGAGGCCGTTTCCACCCGCGGCAGCAGCAAACCCAGCATCTCCCGGCAAAACGGGCGGCGGCCCCGGGGGCGCGAGGCCAGGGATGCAGGACGCGGGATGCGGGATGTGGCCCCGGCGCCGCAGCGCTCGCTGACGCAGCGCGCCGGGCAGCGCCGGCGGAGCCGTGAGCGCCGCGCTCACCTCGGCAAGGACACGGCGCGTTCCCAGCGCGATCCCGGAGCTCGCAGGGATCTGGGCCAACCACCCCAGCCCCACAGCAGAAATAGGCGAGGAAAAAAGCCTGGGAAGCCAGGCGGAATCAACACGGGTGGCCAGGAAAGGCCGATGCCGGCGGCGAAGGGGCGGCTGAAGCGGAGCTTGGCTATCCCTGCTCCAGGGCTCGGCAAAATCCGCAGCTGTCCAAGGGGCTGGGCATGGGGGCCACACGGGTGGCAGCTCCGTGGCCCCGTGGGACAGTCCCCAGGGCCGCTGTCCCRCGCCGGGAGCTCAGCAGCCACCACTCCGTGTGACTACAAATCCCTCACCAGAGAAATCCCGCCAGGATTTGGCTACTGGCCTCCATGGCCCAAGGGTTTATGGATGTYGGGTGCCGCGGGCTCCGGAGGAGGCCGGCGCTGCCGGGCGCGGGTCCCTGTGCAGCAGGGCAGAGTCCAGCCCATGTCGGGGCTCAGGCGACGGCATTTCCAGCCCGGCGCCGCGGATCCGGCCTTGGCGAACGGAGCCCCCCAGGCTGCGGCAGCGCCAAAGGCTGCGCTCGTGCGAGCGGCATCGAGCCCAGGAGCGATGGGTCTCCTCCTCTGTGGAGGCCACGGCTCCCGGAGCTCCCAGGGACATCAGGAATACGGGAAATTCCGGCCTCGCCCGAGCGCTCGGCCCTTTGCCCGTCACCAGCACGAGGCCGCGAACCTGGGGCCGCCCCAGCACGCGGCGCCGCTCACTGCACGGTCTYGAACCAAAGACGTTCCCCGGAGATGAGGCCGAGGCCGCGGAGGCTCCGGGGCTGCTCRCGGGGCGGGCGGGAGGCCGCCTGGCTGGAAGGCGGATACCGGGAGGCTCCGTGCRCCTGGACCGCTGGCAGTCGCCGCGGATCATCCGGATCATCCGGCCCGGGCTCCGCCGGGGAGCCCAGAAGGGCCGAGCGGCTCCTGTCCCCAAGCAGCCGCAGGAAGGTCYGTGAGACCCTCGCTCCCAATGGAAGGAGCTCCCTTCCCGCTCCTTCTCTCCCCACTTTGGGAAAGGGGTGTCCGGGGTGGACAGAGCAGGAGTCGCTGGGAACAGGGATGGGCTCCTCGGTGCCAGTAGCGGCCAATTCGGTTCTAACGATCGCCCCAAATCTCACGTCCCTTCTCGACGCCTACGGCGCGTCCACGACGCCAGCTCTCCACGCAGCGATTCCTTCCCTGACCCCTTGGATCCGGGAACACGGCGCAAACACTGACCGTCTCCAGGACCTTCCTCCAGCTCGAGAGCAACTACGAGAGTCCCGAGCTCCGGAGCTGCCCCACAGCCGAGCGAAGCGGCCCCGGCRGCCCCATCTGCAGCGCCCGTCCAGGGAGCCTCGAGGTCCCAGCACTGCCCGACTCCCAGCAAGGGACCCGGGAAGGCGGGACCGGCTCCAGAGCCGCTCCCTAAGCCAACCCTACCCCGTCTCCGCCCCAGCGGGAACAGCTCCGAGCACGAGGGAAAGGGGCGACCAGTCCTGCTCCGATGGCGCCGCTGGGTCTGGTGGGGACAGCGCGGAGCCAGGGGACACTGCAGAGCCCTGGGGACAYCACGGAGCCCTCAGGGACAATGTGGAGCCTGGGGAGCACTGCAGAGCCCTGGGGACACCRTGGAGCCCTGGGGGACACCGTGGAGCTGCGGGGATACCACAGATCCTGGGGGGACACTGCAGAGCCCTGGGGACACCACAGAGCCCGGGGGACACCATGGAGCCCTGGGGGACACTGCAGTGCCCTGGGGTCACCGCGGAGCCCTGGGGGACACTGCAGAGCCCGGGGTCCCGTGCG